CACCACGTCCCCTTTCCATCTTAGGCAGTGTTATTGCTATTATACGTAGACTGGCTCCCTCCTTTTGGCAGCTCACAATTTGTTATGAATTGAGAGGAATACTTTCACGCTGTGTTATTACCCAGTTTGGGTTGGACTGGATTGGATACAAACTTCATAGATTTGGGGTTTTTACCTGCAAGGTAAGCCACACTCTGGGTATTCACCTCAAACTTATCACAGTTCCTATGTTTGTTAACCAGAGCGAGGAGTGTGTGCAGAATCCTTACTGTCCTTGCTACTATGGTTGGCGATGGGTGCCGATAACCTAGTGAAATAAACAGTGTGTTAAAGGACCAGGTATCTGGAAACAAAGAAAAGCATCAATTGAAAAGTGGGGAAATGTCTTAAAGAGACAGTGCATAAACTTAAACGGGCACTCAGAAAGTGGGATGGGAGTTGAAACCTATTCAAAAACCCTTTGAGAGCTGCATGCAATGTAATTTCATTTTAATGTATGCGGATAGGTGTACAATTAAAGTGACAATAACATATTCTATTCTATTCTATTCTATTCTATTCTATTCTATCCTATCCTATTCTGTGAAAACCAGACTTCAGTAACCTGAATGGCACGTTGCTGATTCTCATAACCAAAAGAAATAAGCATTGATTGTGCAACCTTAGCAATACTAACCACTAATTTTTAGTGGTTTCCAAAGTTATTGTGAGTCTCCGGAAAAGCAGCAAGCATGTACTTACTGCAAGTAATCAAGCTTTAGAATCTGGGATTCTGGAGGAAAAAAGTGGGAGAATTGGGTGGCATATACATTTAATAAATAAATAAAATGCAATGCATTTTTGAGGCTTTTGCACAAAAGGAAGAAATGTTGTTGACCCAAATTTAAAATCCTAAATTGGAATGAAGGGATCCTGAAAGAAATTGTGTTGTTGCTCGTCGGGGGTGGAGGGGTTTGTCACGCCAATCCAAAAAGAATGTTAGGCTCGATTTACACAGAAAGTTAATGATAGAACAAACACTACAGGATGGGGAAACCAGAATGATTTCTAAGCATAATTCCTCCTTGAATGCAGAAAACTAGCAGTTCAGGAGGGGAAATTCCACTCTGGCCAGCATCTTGTGATGTTACTTCTTTACTTACGCTTACATTTTCTTTTCCCCCCACTAATTTGTTTTTCTATATGTAATGTGAAAGAGTGAGGACCAGATTTGATATACTGGTTAAGGCATCAGGCTAGAAATTGGGAGATTGTGAGTTCTAGTCCCGCTTTAAGAACAAAGCCTGCGGGGTGATCTTGGCCTGTCACTCTCTCTCGGCCCTAGGAAAGAAGCAATGGCTAACCACTTCTGAAAAATCTTGCCAAGAACACTGCAAGGACTTGATAAGGCAGGCTTTGAGAATTGGACACGAATGAATGGAAGAAAAAACAATAACAACCTGAAAGAGGACAATCTATTTGACCATCTTGAATTCTAAAGCAAGGCACAAGGAGAAGAAAAGTGGGCAACCACTTTGGCCTCTAACACATAGCAACAATTTCCCCTTTGTCATCCAGAAACAACTCTGGAACAATGAACAGATCTCCCCTTTTCACAAATGACCCAAGTCTCAAACCAGGGCTTTCTTTGTCTGTGAAAACTGTGTCTTTTCCTGAAGTGCATCTCAGTTTCTATCACAAAAGTTCCTTTCAGCCTATTAATTCTAGGTATTTCCCCCCACTCTTTCCCTCTCCAGTCCCTCTCTCTTCAGTATCTTCTGCTCTCCTTCGAGGAACTTTAAAGTGCTATAGGACAGGGCTCTCCAACCTTGGCAACTTTAAGGCTTGTGGATTTCAACTCCCAGAATCCCTCGGTCAGCAAAGCTGAGGAGTTGAGGTCCACAAGTCTTAAAGTTGCCAAGGTTGGAGATCCCTCCCCTAGGATCCCTTTCTGATGCCAATCATAGGCACAGTATCCAGAATTCCTACCACAAACAATACTTTTGTGTCCTGGGCCTGACAGCAAGAAAATCAAGCCACCGTGCATTGCCTTCCTACCTTTTAGCAGATGTCCCACAAGTGCAAAATTGAAGTTGGAGTTGAAATTGAGTCCCACAAAGTGGTCCATCTGCTTACAGTGCCACTCTAGAGGCCTCCTGATCTCCATGAAGACTTCCTCGGGGCTCTGTCCGGGAAGAGGCCAACGTACAGGCATCAGACAATTCAGTCAGAAAAAGACCCACGCTTAACTCTCAATTCATTCCAGGTAGACACATTCAACCATCTACTCATAAGAAGAAAATATGGATAGCTCAGGTCTGAACTGTGGAGATCTTGGTGTTGCCTCCAGAAGTTCGCAAATGCTCCAACACTGGAAGTTTTCAAGATGTTGGATAACCATTTGTCTGAAATGGTATAGGGCCGGGATGGCGAACCTATGGCACGCATGCCACAGGTGGCACGCAGAGCCATTTGTCAGGGCAGGCGAGGCGTTGCCCTGTCAGCTGGCCAGCATGCAAGTCACTTCCGGTTTGCTCGTAGGGTCGTTTTTTGCCCTTTGGAGGTTTCAGGGAAGCCACCTGAAGGTCCCTGAAGCCTCCGGAAGGCCTCTGGGGGTCGGGGGAGGCTGTTTTCGCCCTCCCCAGACTCCTATAAAGTCTCTGGAGCCTGGGGAGGGCGAAAAAACCATGGAGAAATGGGAGAGCGTCTCTCATGCGTGCATGCACACTGGGGGTGTGTCTGTCACACATTGCATTATGGGTGTGGCACGCCTGCGCCCCCCCTGCGCTCCCCTCCCCTTATGGCCCGCAAGCCAAAAAAGGTTCACCATCGCTGGTATAGGGTTTCCTGTCTAGGCAGGGGGTTGGACTAGAAGACCTCTAAGGTCCCTTCCAACTCTGTTATTCTATTCTATTCTCTGAGATTGGTTGTTTGCTTGCAGACATTTCATTACCCAACTAAGTAACATCAGCAGCAGACACCAAGCACAGAGGTGATCAAGGTTTCCACAGTTCAGCCCTGAGCTTCTTACATATTCTCTTCTTCGAAACCCACTCTGTATCCGGGATAAACAAGGGTTGCAAATAATAGTTTGTGGTTCGAAGAACACTGGCAAGAAATTAAGTAGGGTTTCCTTTTTCAGAATACAAATGACCAGCTGTCTGCAAGGAATATAAACCCTTCCGTTCCCCACCATCCCGTCAGAGCTGAAGAAGCTTCTTGGATGAGAAGCAAAACATCTTCAAAGAAAAACAAGAAAGTCCCGGTTGCCTCTTGAAAAAGCCCTTTGGGATAAACCGTGGCTTGTTGAACAAGACACGTTAGCCTTGGCAGTACATAAAAAGTGAGCTAAGGTGATTGGAATTACATCTCACAAGAAATCAAAAGCAAATAAAGAGCACAAGAAGCAGTCTAAAAATAACCTCTGGGGGGAAAAAAGCAGCATAAGGTGGGTGCGTCCAAGATCTATTTGTCTTTGCTTTCGTCTTCCGTGTTCTATTTTAGTCTGCAGCCCTACTGGTCAATTTTAGTATGCATCACCTAATCTTACACCAGCACTTGTAAAACTGCTGGGATATTAAAAATAACCCTGGGCGCCATAAAATAAAAATCTCATTTCTTGAAACTCAAGAAATGTCAAACAACATTACGTTCTCAAAACTCAAGTTACTTTTCAACAAGGAAGCAGCTCACGTTTTCCCCCCAAAACCGATTCACCCGTGATGAAAAGATGACGCATATTACAGCGCTAAGAGAACATTCATGCTTTCTTTTGTTCTGGCGTGTTCTGGGAAATGGTTTGCTTACTTTATCATTAAATACCCGGAGGTTGTCCAGAGTGTGTAGGTTCTGCTCAAGTAAAGCCGTGCCTGCGGAATACAGATTGACCTCGTCCAGCTGTAGAACTGCCATGGCCACCCAAAACAGTACCTTGTGCATAGGGGAGTCCTAAACAGAAACAGAGGAATGAAATGACAGAACTGGAGCGGTTCGTTTTGATAGACGGGGATATTTGTAACTTAGGGTTGAACGGTGGTGCTCTCTGGGCTTGCTGGTTTTCTTGCAGACGTTTCATTACCACACTAAGTAACATCATTAGTGACGTGGCAATGAAATGTCTGCAAGAAAACCACCAAGCTCAGAGAACACCAAGGACCCTACAGCACATTTGTTCTGCTGGGAAAGAACCAAGAGACACATCTTTCTCGTGTCAACAAAACTGGATGCATCTGGCATCCACGCAATCTCTAGACTCTAGACTAACTGCAATCATGGGTACAAAACACGCTGGAAGGTACAGCCATGGACTCTTGGCCCAGTCTGGATGAGATGGTCGTAAGTTGGCTTGACAGTTTCATTCTACAGGGATTTCAGCTAATGACTGGTAGCTGCTGCTATCATTGGCTCATTCTTTGGGTTGGTTTTTCCATCATCAGCCTTCCAGAATTGTACCCGCAGCCAAAGTGAACTGTTGAGGTTGAGGCCATGCTAACAACTTACAGCCATACATGAAGGGAAAGACTGTACCACATATTCTCTGAAAACAACAACTTTGGGCAGATGGAGTGGGAATATATGAGCAGGCTGCCCCTTCATATTGCCCATGGGGCTGCGTCAAGCATATTTATTTTAGGAAAACTGACATGGCTGTCCAACTCACTCCCAGAGACTCCAGGAGTCTTACAGAAATAAAACCTGAAATACAAAATCCAACAAACCTCTACCTCCATGTGACAACAAATCTAATCAATCACTTGATGGGCTCCATATCACCCTGGGATCCCCAGGTCTGCTGACAGAATCAGGTCTTGAGGCCCTTTGAAAGAACATCAAAGTCGGGCCCATCTTATCTTCATGGGGATAAGATTCCAAGAGTATCAAGGGAGGGAGCCACCACCGAGAAGGCCCTTCTTCTTGGTGTCATTAGATGGGGACTACCTAAGAGAGGAATCAGTCTACACCAGTTGTGGGTTCCTACTGGTTTGGCCCAGTTCGGCTGAACTGGTTGTGGTTTGGCGGCCTGGGTCACTGGAACCGGGAGCGACCCAGGCCTGCCACACCCCCGAATCGGTTCTCCGGGTGCCATTGTAGGCACGGCCATCTTGTTTTTTGCTTCTGGGTATGCACAGAGCAATTTCTATTGCACTGTGGATACGCATGAAGTGGGCACGTATGGCGCAGCCACGAGCAAACCAGCAGAGCTGGCTGCCAGAACCCACCCCTGGTCTACATCCTGCCTCCGGCACTTGTGGGTAGGGTAGATGTAACTGCAAGAGTTACCGTACATGTGCAACCTTTTATTAGAAAATAAAACATCTTTGAGATAAACCTCCCTTCTTCCCCTCCCATTTCTTTTTTTAAATGTGGCCAAATCAATCGCGTGTCAATGAAGGCAGAGCACTCCTGACTCTAAATAGAACTGGAAACTGTGGTTTCGACCGAATGGCTGAGAACCAAAAAGTGATGAAGAGACTGAAAGGAAGGAGGGGGGAACAGACACACAAAGTGATACCTCCAATCCTTCAGGATCTCTAAAGGTAAAGGTTCCCCTCGACATATGTGGTAGTCATTCTTGACGCTAAGGGGCAGTGCTCATCTCCATTTCAAAGCCAAAGAGCCAGCGCAGTCCGAAGACGTCTCCGTGGTCATGTGGTTGGCATGACTAAACATCGAAGGCGCACGGAATGCTGTTACCTTCCCACCAAAGGTGGTTCCTATTTTTCTATTTGCATTTGTACATGTTTTCGAACTGCTAGGTTGGCAGAAGCTGGCACAAGGAACGGGAGCTCACTCCATTAGGCGGTGCT